TGTATTGACACAGTGGCTGCAACAACAGGCTCAAAAATAATGATTGTGAGGATGGCGCAGGACCAGGCAGTACATAGGGTCACTATGAGTCGGAACAGACTCAATGGCACCCAGCAACAACAGGGGTAGTGGCGGGTAGGTAGTGGGTGTGACTATAAAGGGGTAGTATGAGGGAGAACTTTGTAGTGATGGAATAGTTCTGTATCTTGAATGCTGTGATGGTTACTTGAATCTGCATATGTGATAAAATTACACAACTCATTCCAATGTCAATTTTCTGGTTTTGATATTATACTATAGCTATATAATTGTAAGGAATGGGGGAAACTGGTTTTAACAGTATACAGAGCCTTTTCTGTACTATTTTTGCAACTTCTTGTAAGTCTTCGAGTATTTATAACAAAAAGTTAAAAAAAAAAGAACCCTCTTATAAAGCAAATAACAGGAACAAGAATGGGAGGACTAAAACTCAGGAAGTAAATAATCAATAAAATATTTTAATTATAATAGCCTATAATGGTATGGCAGTTTTATGAAGGAATAGCTTTTAACTGGGAAAAGTTTGTATAGACCAGTGACATACAATACCAAGAACATTTAATAGCAGTATCAAAACATGTGATTTGAGAAAATATTAGAGACACAAATTAATACATCTCATTTTAAACCAAGCAACTGGCAATTGTGAAGGGCTGGCAATAAAACACAGGCAAAACACATCTGCAAACAACGAAAAATCAATTGCAAAAGGTCTTTGAGCCAGCTGTTCAGACTTTATCTAGTATATGCTGGGAATGGAGAAGTTACGTTCTGGATGACCCCAAACCCTATTCCTCACGTAGTTAATTGATTTGCATACACCTTGTGCTAAGGCGTCCTCAAATTGTGTTTCACTATAGCATATATTCATTTCCAGTTTTGCTATGATAAGAATATTCATGTTGGGTAAAGTATTTAGTGATAATTAGAAGGAACAGGTGGGGGGAAAAAATCACCTCTTGCTACACTGTCCAAAATGGTAACCACTAGCCCCACGAAGCTAGTTAAATTTAAAATAATTAAAATTAAATAAAATTTAAAAATTCAGTTTCTCAGTCACACTAGGCACATTTCAAGTTCTCAATAGCCATATGTGGAATACCCATATGTGGCTAGTGCTCACCATACTAGATATAAAATATTTCCATCATCACAAAAAATTCTATCAGACAGCGCTGCTCTAGAGCACATAAAACATGTCATTTTTCCACAATCATAGGTACAGCTTCAGCCCAAAGAACTCTGACAGGAATTAGTATTACATTATCTAGGGTTTGCATTTACACATAACTCTATCTTCAGCAATATTTAGCAATACGTCACAGTGGTTAAGTGCTAGGGCTTTGGGGTATAATACTTCTGAATTTCAGTTTAAGTTCCAGTTTACTAAATTGTGTGTGTGACCTTAGGCATGTTACTTCACTTCTCTGTGCCTGTTTTCTCATTTAAAAAAAATGGATAATAGTACCTACCTCACAGAGTTGTTATAAGGATTAAATGAGATAAGCCCATGTAAAGTCTGTAGCCCAAAATCTGGCAGATATGATCTATAAATGCTAGTTATTATTAGCATTATTCTTTGAAGCCTAACAAGATGAGCTTGGCTTGCTCTAGCACCTAGAATCTAGGTGACCAGTAGAAATGGCAATAGGGAACATGAAATCATATGAGCAGCAAGGGAGTCAAACCCTAACAGGACCCCTTTTGACTTTCCATAGACATAAATGGCAAGCACATAATTCCTCCACTACTTGAGGCCAGCAACAAAGGAGGAGATACCCTCTCCCCTAAAGATCTATTTGTCTTGCAGCTCTCAAAAAATCAAAGGGTAAGTGTACCTTACCCTTGGTCTAATGTGACTCGCAATTAAAAAGTTAACCACCATGTCATATCAAGCAAAATAAAAGGTACAATAGCAAAACATATTGTCTATAAAAGACAATTACCCAAACAAATCAGTCAGTAGGAGAGGCACTTGGAATTGTTTTTCCAGCTCTTTCTAACAATCAGATCAAATTCCTTGATGCATTATTATGGTAAAATGTCACTATGCCCAATCCACTGTGAATACCACACAACAGGCCTACTGTACCTCCATAATCAACCACGTAACTATTTATTGAATATCTACTACACATAGGGCACTTTTGTTCTACACCAGGGGTCAGCAAACTACAGCTGGTGGGCCAAATTCAACCACCTCCTGTTTTTGTACAATAAGCAAGGTAAGAATAATTTTTACATTTTTAAATGATTAGAACATCCTACAACCAATATTATCAAACACTAAATGGCTTTGGAAATTAGCGTTTGCTGAAGACTTGGCAACGTTTCTTAATTAATTCTACCTAAAATTACAAGGTAGAACAGTGCTTATATGTGAAACTTATTCTGCAGTAAAGTCATTTCAACAACTAACATTGTTTAAATCACAAGTAATGTCAACATGCCTTATATACTTCCAAGTCAAAACAACAAAACCACAATGAGATACCACTTCACACCCACTCAAACGCATTGCCTCAGGGTCAACTCCAACCCATAGTGGTCCTATGGGACAGCGTAGAACTTGCCACCATGGGGTCTCCAAGGCTGTGAATCTTTACAAAAGCAGACTGCCACATCTTTCTCCTGCAGAGCGGCTGGTGGGTTCAAACCACTGACCTTTCGGTTAGCAGCCAAGAGCTTTAACCACTGGGCCACCAGGGCTCCTTCACACTCACTAGAATAACTATTAAAAAAAGATAGACATTAACAAGTATTGCTAAAGAAGCAATTTGAACTTCATACAATGTTTGTGGGAAAGTAAAATTGTGCAGCCAATTTGGTAACCAGTCTGGCAGCTCTTCAAAAAGTTAAACATAAATTTGCCATTAAAAAAAAAATTGCTGTAGAGTCCATTCTGACTCATAGCAATCCTATAGGGCAGAGTAGAACTGCCCCACAGGGTTTCCAAGGAGCAGCTGGTGGATTTGAACTGCCAACCTTTTGGTTAGCAGCCATAGCTCTTAACCACTGTGCCACCGGGGCTCCAACTTTGCCATATGACCCAGTAATTCCACCCTTAGGTATCTACCCAAGAGAACACAAAGACTTGCATGCAAATGTTCTTACCAGCATTAATCACAATAGCCAAAAGGTGGAAACATTCCAAATGCCCATCAACTGATGACTGGATAAACAAAACGTGTTATATCCATACAATGGAATGCTATTCAGCAATAAAAAGTAATGGAGTGCTAATATATGCTGCAATACAGATGAACCTCAAAAACAAAATGAAAGAAGGCAGACACAAAACATCACATATTGTATGGTTTCATTTATATGAAATGTCCACAATAGGCACATTTATAGAGGCACAAAGTAGATTAGTGGTTGCCTACGGCTGGGAGTGGGGATGGGGATTAACTGTAAATGGGCATGAGGGATCTTGTTGAGGGAATGAAAATGTTCTAAAACTGATTCATGATGATAGTCGCACCACTATGGAAAGTTAACTGAAAATCACTGAATTGTACACTTGAAATGGGTGAATTTTGTGATCTGTAAAATATACCTCAATAATGCATTAAATATATATATATATATATAAACAATAGGGGAGATTGAGTGGGGGTATATGGGAACTCTGTAGTACCTTTGCAACTTTTCTATAAATCTAAAGTTATTTTAAAATTAAAACAATTATTTAAATAAAAATATTAAAATTTAAAAAACATAGGTTTTCTGATATCAGTATTTGCTGTGTAAAAAGACATTTTCAAAGATGAAATATGTAAAATTGTATTACAGATCAGCATTAACAGATAAACATTTGGAAATGATTCTTACAATAGCGAACACTAACTTTGAACTCCAACTAAACAAACGAACAAAAAAACAAACCCGTTGCCGTCGAGTCGATTCCGACTCATAGCGACCCTGTATGACAGAGTAGAACTGCCCCACAGGGTTTCCAAGGAGTGGCTGGTGGATTTGAAACGCCGACCTTTTTGTTAGCAGCCGAGCTCTTAACCACTGTGCCACCAAAATGTTGTCCCCCCCCAAAAGAATTCCACTCCTCTAATTAAGTAGTTCTGTATTACAAAAAAGTAAAGTATTATTATTATTATATTTTCATCAATAAATATTTGTTGAAATTAGTTTTCCTTCGTGGTATGTAAGTACCTACATAATATCCTCGATTTTGCCTTTTGGTCTGCAAAGCCTAAAATATTTACTCTCTGGCTCTTTACAGAAAATGTTTACCAACCTCTGTTCTACACCATAACAGGATAAACATAATCAGTCTCTTTCTTGAGTATATTTTTATCATTACCTAATTTTGGCACAATGCCCCCTCCAGACATGCCCTATAAAGGGTAAGCCTTGCATCTCTTTTTCTATTGCACTATTTGTGATTTCCATAAATAGAAACACAGCTTAATAGTTCTAGCAAAGCCTCGATGTCATCATTATTATCATGATATTAAAGTAACACCATAGCATAGTATCCCTAGAATGACTCTCATCAAGTTGTGATGTCAACATGACGTGGATTCACCGAGGTCTCTTAGGTATCAAGTGACTCCCATGGCATCACACCCTGCTGTTGGCATCACCCTGGCACATCACCTTACTATGGTGTCATATGCTATCACTGCTGTGACAGAATCCCGCCCTGATGCCACTCTGCCGAGATGTCAGAGTAATTACTCCCTACTTCTTTCCACTCCCTTGGCAGTGGCAGGGAGGGGGAGGGTAGCCACAGTCACCGGTACGAGCTCAGGAGGTAGTTCCCAGCTCCAACCGTTGTCCCTTCCGCCTAGCACCGCAGGTCAGGGCCCCCGGGGGACAGAGCCTTTAGGGTCCTATAACTCTCTTGCCCTGACCCCACGCCCGTTCTCTGTAGCCGACTCAATGGGCAACCACCCACCCCGGCTCCTCCATAAGGTTCCTCACGAAGCCGCTCCCCGTACCTGACTCCATTCTCCAGCTGTCATCCTGGGCCAATTCCACTGGCCACTTGACTACGGCAGCCGCAAGGGACCCTGGGACTTGCAGTTCAGCGCTGCTAGGGGTAGAGTCGGCGTGGGAGGCAAAGGCACCTCCCCAACTCAGAACTGCTCTCAAACTGCAACTCCCAGAGGCTCCTCGCTATGGGAAAAGAAGCGAGGGAACGAGAAAGATTGTTCATTGGTGGAGCTCTACAGGCTCTTTTGATTGGCAGTCGGAGCTGGCGACGTAAGGCGGTTGTTGGTCTGGCTTCCCCGAGATCTTTAGGAAAGCGAGATGGAGAGGTGTGTGTCTAACCTAATGGTCTGCAACCTGGCCTACAGTGGAAAGCTGGAGGAATTGAAGGAGACAATCCTGGCCGATAAGTCCCTGGCTACTAGAACTGACCAGGTAAAGCAGCGATAGAGCCTCTCCCAAGGCGGCGGCGGCGAGGCGCTACGTGGCCTCCCAGGCCCTGCCCAAGCCGAGGCTCATTCTGTGGGGTGGAGATCCCGCCCCCGCCGCCTCATCCTTACACCCGGTGGCTTCAGGACTCAGAACAGGGCCGCGGGAGCTAGCCCCACAGGCCTCGGATATATTTTTGCCCAGTACTTAGCTCTCCAAGTTTTGGTTATTTTTCGAACGTATGCCAAATTTTGCAGCAATGCCCTGTATTTGAGATATCCGCGCGGAGGAAAGCTTTTAATCTGCGTTTCTTTACTTTCATTAGCGATTTTATTCGGTTAAACACGTGTAACCCGAACGCCTCTTTTCTGTGGCAGACAATTTGCTAGGCGCTGGGGATGTGATTGAATGGAAGAAGCAGACATTAATAAAACAGTCACAAAACATATGCATGGTTACAAATTGTTTACATAGTGTTTACTTGAGTTACATGGTGCTTACTTGAGAGGGCCTGATTTAATTTCCCTTATATGAGCTGAATATTGTAACTGGAAAAGGCTTTGCAAATGAGGGATGAGTGGCATTTCCAGGTGAGATAAACGGGCATTCTAAGCAGAGACAGAACAAAAGTGAACGGACATTTGAGAAGAGTTTCTTTCTGCTCTTCTGCTCAAAGGACCCTCACGCTTTCACCTCGAGTTTCTAGAAAGATTTACGGTGCTCTCAGTAAGCCAACAAATATTTAAAGATTGCCACCTATTTGATAGGCACTGGAGCCCTGCTGGTACAGTAGTTGAGAGCTCGGCTGCTAACCAAAAGGTTGGCAGTTTGAATCCACCAGCTGCTCCTTGGAAACCCTATGGGGCAGTTCTACTCTGTCCTATAGGGTCGCTGTGAGTCGAAACCGACTCCACAACAACGGTTTTCAGGTTCTGAGCACTAGAGAGACAGTGTCACATACATATATCTCCATTTTGTGTTTTTTGGAAGATAATTAGAAATCAGGAGACTTTTTTCTGTTCTGGAACTTCCCTTTATTACTCAACCTGAAAATGGCCCCACCATTACCTGGTTTACTTTCATTATGGTCTGGTAATATTTAATAATTATTTACTATTAAGATTTAATAATACTTCATTGAAAATTTGACGATTCTTCATCACGTCAATGGCATAAAAAAGGGGGGAGCTGTTCAAGATCAAGAGACTTAAGAAACAACAATCAAATACAACTTATGGACCTTGTTTAAATCCTGATTTAAGCAACCCAGCTGCAAAAAGACAATTGAGAGAGTTGAGGAAATCTGAATACAGTTTGGGTATTAGATGTTATAAAGGAGTTATGTTAATTTTAATAGGTGTAATAATGGTCTGGTAGTTAGTAAGAAATCCTTTTTTTAAAGATGCACGCTGAAATATTTAGGGGTGAAGAGTCATGATATTTGGAATTTGTTTTTTAAAAACCTCAGCAAAGAAGAAAAAGATGAAGCAAATATGGCAAAATAATAATTGTTAAATCTATGTGACAGGCATAGTTTCCTACTGTATTCCTTCTATTTGTATGTGTGTTTGAAATTTTTTGTAATAAAAGTTTAAAATAAAATTTTTTAATATGGGTTTGACTAAGAAATACAACAGTCATTGCAAACTGAGAAACATGACTAACTCCTAGCTTCTTACTAAGAAAACAACATAATTTTGTTGCTCGCTAATTCTGTACGGTGTGTTTTTTAAATGGCTGTATATGTATATATATATAAGCTCAACTGGTTTTATGAACATTTCATCCCCATAAATTCATATTCTTTCTAGAACATCTAACTTGGGGGTCAGTGTGGTAGTAGAAATTTCAGAGTCAGACAGGGGTTTGCGTCCCAACTGCACTATTTACTAACTTTGTGACCTTGGGCAACTTGCTTACCCTGAGAAGTCTTAATTTCCTCATCTGTAAAATGGGAATAATATCCACTTTATAGTGTCATGGGGATTAAATGAGACAATGTATGTAAAACTCCTAACACAGTGCCTGACATGTTTAGTCCCCTTCTTTTCTTTTGATAATGATAGTAAAATACTCAGCTGTTGTTTTTTTTGTCCCTACAAGCATACATGTATAATAGTAAACAGCCAAAGCCCTATTTCTGCTAAAACATTGAAATCGGTTTCTGGCTCTAGTGCTTTCATTGCTGTTTTGCCCAGAATTCACCCATGTAATTCCCCCCATGTTACTAAAACCTACAAATCAGGAGACTTTTTTCTTTTCTGGAACTTTCCTCTATTAATCTGAAAATGGCCACCATTACCTGGTTTACTTTCATTATGGTCTGGTAGTATTTAATAGTTATTTACTATTAAGATTTAATAATACTTGGTCTCTCTTATACTAGTAAGTAATGTGGTTGAAGGTTTCCTACCTGAGAATCCAGTGTTCTCCATTTCTTGTTTCCAAACTATAGATTGTCTAGACCCAATATTATTTTTTCTGCTTTCTTGCCTTGGTTCTTCTATTTCTCTTCAAGAATATTGATCTTATTGCCTCTCTTTTTCCTATGTAGGACAGTAGAACTGCACTGCATTGGGCATGCTCAGCAGGCCATACAGAAATAGTTGAATTCTTGCTGCAACTTGGAGTGTCAGTGAATGATAAAGATGATGTAAGTACTAGGCAGAATTGATAAATTCCCTGTTATCTTTAGACCCCAGACTGGTATTTACTGAAGCCTGAGTATTTGTTTCACTCTTAAACAAAATTGTATCCTTTATGAATAGGAAGTTGCAGCATGGCCTTGGTGACCAACACGGGATTAGCAGTTACAGTATTTTAGAATGTTAATGTTGCCACTCTGTGATTTAAGATAAACGATATAACTTCTCTTTGTCTCATTTCCCCTAGCCAAGATATATAGATAATGGATTTCTAATAGAGATCAAGGCCTGTTACAGTGAACTCTAAGAGACTGTAAACCCTTTCTATTATGTTGGATTTTTTTGTGTGTGTGAATACAGCCTGAATAATGAGGGCCTAGATATCTTTTTTGGTATATATAGAGACTTATTGTAATGGTATTGGTCATATTAGAATTAACCTGGAACAATTTTGTAGGTAAAAATTCCTTTTTGAGGATATTCACTGAAGTAATAGTTATAAAAACAAAGAAATGAAAATAATTTAATGGGGGAATGGTTGAATATAGTAAGGTATATCCATATGATAAAATAATATGCAACCAATAAAGGTATGTTTTCAAAGAATGAGAAAAATGCTCAGAACGAAATAAGTGGAAAATGGAGCTCACAAACTTCTGATCATACAAGCCCAATTTTGATTTAAAAAATAATATATGGAAGAAAACACATTAAAATTACAATTACATATAATTATCTCTGTGTAATGGGATTATGATTTTTTTTTCTTTTTCTATATTCTGGTTTCCAAATTTTCTACAGTGCTTAATAAGGAAAAAATTAAGAATTTTTTTTAAAAACTATTTGCACAAAGCTCTTTGTAAACACTGCCTGTAAATTTATCATTAATATTTGTGCCTTTTTGTCCTGGTTTTTGTACTGCCTGCGTCTTATAGGCAGGTTGGTCTCCTCTTCATATTGCTGCTTCTGCTGGCCGGGATGAGATTGTAAAAGCCCTTCTGGGAAAAGGTGCTCAAGTGAATGCTGTCAATCAAAATGGCTGTACTCCCCTGCATTATGCAGCTTCCAAAAACAGGCACGAGGTATGGTCTTATTCCTAGGCTACTTCTTTTGAGATATAAACATGTACACAAACAAATAGATATTTACATTTATTTTCTTCTACTTCTTTCCAGATTGCTGTCATGTTACTAGAAGGTGGGGCTAATCCAGATGCTAAGGACCATTTTGAGGCTACAGCAATGCACCGGGCAGCAGCCAAGGGTAACTTGAAGATGATTCATATCCTTCTGTACTACAAAGCATCCACAAATATCCAAGACACTGAGGGTAACACTCCTCTGTAAGTGACAAGTAGCAGTCATTTATATTCTACGTGACAGTAGCCCTTTTGCAGTAATGCTTACACATGACTTATTTTTTATTCTGCTTATAAATGTAATATATGTTTACGGCAAAAAGATTTTTTGGAAAATACACAGAAGTATAAAGATAAAAATAAAAATTTCCTATCATTTTGCCACCCAGAGATAACCACTGATAACATCTTTGTATATTTTCCCCAGACTTTTATATACAAATGTGTATATTTTTTTAACAAAATTTTGATCATACTATGTATTTAGTTTTATATCTTGTTTTTTTCACCCAGTGGTATATTGTGAGCCTTTTCTAAAGCCGTTAAATATTTTTTAAGTTTTCAATGGCTATATAAAATTCCATTTTGTGGATGTACTGTAATTTAATCATTCCTCTATTACTGTATATTTAAAATGTTTTGAGTTTTCCACTATTGTAAATAACGCTACATTGACCAACTTTGTACAAAAAAATTTTGGCCATTTATAGCTGATTATTTCCTTAGTGTAGACTCCTAGAAGTGAAATTGCTGGGTCAACGAATACATCCATTTTAAGACCATTGATATATATATTACAATTGCTTCCAGAGGAGTTGTATCATTGTGCCCTCCCAAGATCAGTTTGAGAGTGCCTAGTACCCCTCACCAACACTGAAAGTATCCTTTTGTTATTTGAAAAATGATATTTCATAGTTGTAATTTGCATTTTTTTGTTTTTAGTGAAGTTGAACATTTTTAAATGTCTGTGGTTGATTATATTTCTTCTCTAAATTGTGACCTTTTGTGTCCCTTTCTGTGTTTCCTTTTGGGGAATTACTTTGTTTTTACTAATTAAGTGATCTTTACTTGACATACTAAAAATACTAATCTTTTGTCAGATTAGTTGAAAATATTTTTCCAGTTTGTTTGCCTTTTCATTTTGTTCATGATTTTTTTTTAATAATACAAGTTTTAAATTTCCATGTAGACAAGCCTATTAATCTTCCCTCATGACTAGAAAGTCCTTCCCAACCTTGAAATTAGTTAAATATTCACTTGTATTTTATTGTAGCAGGGTTTTTTTTTTTTTTTTTAATGCTTCACTGGTTTTGTTGGAGAGTGATTGTTATTGTTTTGCATTTAACTCTTAAATCCACCTGCAATTGATTTATGTGTATGACCTGAACCCAGCCTCTACTTGGATATTTTTTTCCACAGTACTTGGCTACTTTTCTTATTTGTTGAATGGTGATATTATTTTGAACCAGAAAATCTATGAATGTTCTGTTTAGTCAAAAGTGAGGTTCAACCTTTTCCCAATTTGACCTTAAGCTACCTTCTTTAGAGTATTATCTTCTTAACTCTTAGTTGTAAAAATCTTTGCTGTAGTTCTGAGTGACTCTCCTTAGAAAGATGTGCACATTCTGGCTCTTTTCTCCATAACTGGAAAGGCAGAATGGCTTAGAGGAAATCTAGGAGTCAGGCAGTATAGGGTTCTGGAAAGAGCATAGGATTTAGAAATAGCTAGATGCTATTCATGGTGACTCTATATGTCACTATGAACACATGGGGTCACCATGAGTTGGAATTGACTCTATAACAGCTGGATTTTATTTTTGGTTTTTTTTTTTTTTTTTTAGCTGCTGTTCACCTAATCCAAGTTCTGCTACCTACCAATTCTGTGAACTTGGGGGAGTTATTTAACCTTCCTGAGCCTTAACTTCCCACCTGTAATATGAGGGTAATAATTCCTTCCTCACTAGATTGTCATCATAGGCAGAAAATTTAACCTCTGTCACAATTTCAACTGTAAAATGGTAATAATAATGCCTTGCTAGCCAAGGATAGATCTAAGGGCCAAATGAGATAAAATCTTTTAAACTGCTTTTCTAAAATTTAAATCACACAAATGTGAAGTATTGTTATTAACAGATTATTAACTGAGGCTTTTCTAAATTCTAACGCTAAATTATTCCACATGTTTAGGGAAACTACTTCTGATCTCCGTAAAATAAGGATGTTGCTCTTTCGTAGGCTGGCATTTAGATCCCTTCTTTTATTGTAGTAGGACCAGAATTATGATTTATGATCTGGTATTATAAGGCTGTTTTACTGATTTTAACTTATAAACAGTCTTTCCCCATGCAAATTGATTTTCCTTTTCTGATTAAATAACTTTCCAACATTACCACTGCCTTAGTAATATGCAACTTTGACTACCTAGCAAGTAATCCTAACCATTACATAGAATTGGTAGTGATTAATGGTCTTTATGGTCCCCGATTTCAGACACTTAGCCTGTGATGAGGAGAGAATGGAAGAAGCAAAGCTGCTGGTGTCCCAAGGAGCAAGTATTTACATTGAGAATAAAGAAGAAAAGACACCCCTGCAAGTGGCTAAAGGTGGCCTGGGTTTAATACTCAAGAGAATGGTGGAGGGTTAAGCAACTTGGATTTATTCTTTGTATGTTTTGTGGTTTTCCCCGGTATCCTGGAAGCTAATGTACTTGTGCACAAGACATCATCTATGAATGATGTTTTCTCACCTTCAGGGTCTTAAAAACATGTTGAATATTGTTCCTGCTGAGGTACTTGTTCTAAGCTTACAACTTGCTTTCCAGGCCTTGAATAACTGTTGAAATTGTTCTGCTGTTTGTTGTACATTATTCTATACTGAATCTTGGTTAACTTTGAGTAAATGATTCTGTGGCTGTTGTGAGTCTTCAGTATCGTCCCGTGCACCCTCTATCCCCCTCTAAGGCAGAAAAACACCAATAGCATCAGGCCAGTTATTCTGCCAAGTATTTCTAGGTGGATTCTAGAATGTTCCTCCATAAGTTGAAACCCATCCTAACTTGTTTTTCAGGCTCACTCAGGCCTATGCCAAAATTTCTGTTTTTTCGACTGTAAGGTTTAATTTATTCTTGTTATAGGAGGAATACTTACATATTTTTGTGGACCAAATTTTAAGTTGAAGGACATGTTATCCAAGTTTGGAATTCATAAACACTAAAATAACCAAAATAAAAATAATGAAAAATAATAGCCTGTGTTCCCATGTATCTTTTTAATGAACTATTTTGCTCCAAAATAAAACAAGAAGTTTTCAAATACCTATATCAAGCCATCATGTATTAAAAAGAATATCAAGCTTGTTAAAATGTGTAACACAAAATATATTTTGATTTATATTTCAGAAAAAAATGAAATGTTGAGAAAATCTACCAATTGTATTTTTCAAATAAGTTAGACACTCATTTAAGCCTTAAAATACTTCATAAAGACATTTCTCAGTTTTTGTAGCTCTACAGTCAGTAAAATCAGTGAAGCTTGAACTGCAACTAAATAAAAATAGTAATCTTCTGAATTGGTAATTAAGTCTGGAGCAAAGGCAATTAATAAGTGTAAACTTGAGCTCAGTTTAGGGAAGCATCTTAAATGATTACTAGTCATAAAATCTAATGAACTCCAAGTGGCTCTTCAAATTATTTTTTTAATTTGAATTTCATGCTGCAAATAATTGCTTGAAATAAGTGATCCAAGTGAGCCTACAAACTTGTATTAATTTTGGTTAAAGACTTAATGACCAGTAGCTGAAATGAGTTTTGTAAACATGAACTGTGTTATTACTGTACAGACCCTGTTTCATAAATATTTTGAGTGCTAATCTTTACAAATATTAATCAGGGAAACATCTTTTTACAGAATTAAACTTTGTTTATTTAATTCTAGGAATAGAATTGATGGCAGGGGAAATAATTTATTTCCAATATTTTTTGGCATGATCAGAAAATAAAGTTGTGTCTAATAGGACCTGCAGGACTGAAAACATTTACTCTTCATAAATACAGAATGTATTGTCTGAGGTAATAGGATTTGTGGGTGTAAAAGAAAGCTCATTGTAGTTCTTCAGTAAACAGTACGGATGGAACCAAACCTCAGATAATCTGTAAACTATTGACATTTTAAATGAAGTGGCTTGTTAACAATATTTAAATCACGGATTTGTATAGATTAAGAATACTATGGCCTTGGCCTTGAGTACTGGTCAAATTGTTACCTATTGCCTATAAGAAAGTTGATAGAGATGAAGCTAATTCAAGGTTAGCAAGTTTTACAGTTACTTCCAGAATGAACTCACAAACAGATGATAGTTGTAAATCTTAGCTGAGAATGTGAGATGGAAGAAATAGGCAAATGGGAACATTCTTAGTATCTATTGCAGAGAATCCACAATTTCAAATTCTATGAAATTCAAGGTAGATCTGCATTTCACTACTTAATCTCTGACCTGACAGAATTTAGCTGCCTGTATGACCCGTGTTTTGTTTTCCCGACTTCTCAACTATACCAACTACAATCAGTTTATTAGTGGCTGTGCTGCAGCTTCCTGTTTCCAAGTTTTGTATAGGGTGGGAGTACCTTACTTTGGGGATCTGTGGCCCCATCTTCACAGTTCCACGGACTGCCTAAAATTGAATGCAGAAATTTGTATATGCCTTTTTCTGAGACAAGGGTTCAGTAGTTTTCATCCAATTGTCAAAGGAATGTGACTCTCAAAAAGATTGACTGCTCGATCAAGAGAGAAAAGAATGCTGAATCAATTGTCAGGAGATGTGGATTCTACATCATAGTTCTGCCCACTTTATAGTTTACAAGTTTTTATATCCATTCTTACCTTGCGCTTTAAGAAGGCAGAAATCATCTCCATTTTATAGATGAGAAAACACCCAGAGCTAGTTAAAGGAAACAGCCAGTACTAATATCAAGCTTTCCTGGACCCTAATCCATTTTCTTTTTGCTCCACAACAACTGTGGACCAAATGGAAGGTACTCTGGCATTTTGATAATGACCCATTAGTCGTAACACCCACTCTGGTGCTTTCGTCTTTAAATTGGCTTGTGTTTTTTTGGTTTCCTGGAACCCTCAATATCATCTCTGAATTCTTGGTTTAATTTTGTTTGTAAGCTAAAGCTTCAAAGACAAGTGAGATTGTTGAGTATTGATTGGTTTGGACCTTTTTTGAGGCCCTCGAACCTCTTTTCCTGCATGTAGCCCTTTAAAATAACCTTTTATTACTAAAACATGGGTTTGTTTCAGTGAAATTAGTAGTTTGGTGCAGTTGGAAGAGCATTGCACTGGGAACCAGGAAACTTGGGATCTAGTCTTGACTTTGTGTCATCTCCGGCAGATTATTTTACCTCTCTTTACTCAGAGCTGCTCTGGGGGCTAGGTAGGAATATATAAGAAGGACCCTGATTTTTTAAACTACATACACATTCCTGCTTCCCCCACTAAGAATATAATTCTCATCATCGCCCACCTACACCCCCATCAGGTGTGCTAGGTTGAATATTATTGATGTCAAAGCTCTCTTCTGGCTTCGAAATTCTTAATGAAGGCTCCTCAAGGCAGTCACACATAGGCCGCTGTAATCGCCGCAGATATTAACTTCTCAGCACGTAATATTAGAAGAAAAGGTCACCTGGTACTCTAATGGCCCGAAGAGTTGTCAATATACATGGCTTCTTAGCTATTGTCATGAATTATTATATTTTAGTCCCTTTTCCTCATAGATCACTGTAATTTGGAAGCCTTGCTCAGTGTAGTACAAATCTAGCTTTCCTCCTCTGCAGGAACACGCAAGAACTAGTCATAGTTAGCAAAGCTGTATAAACGTAAGGACAAGGGCTAGCTCACCATCGTATCACCAGTACTAGCAACAGTTCCTAGTAGCCATTTCATAAATGTCCGATGGGTTACTGAATAAACGAGTGAATTTGGGAGAATAGGACCTAGAAGCAAAAAGCTGTTCTGTTGACTTTAGCATATTCTAGCTGCTAAAGCAAAAACAAAGAGATAAGGGAAGGTTTTGGAAATCCTTTCAGATGTTGAGAAGTAAATGGTTAAGAAGCCCAAGGCCAGTTTGGGATTTAGTTGGGACTACCCAGTTAAATTTTAACTTTGTTGTTAGTTCCTGCCTGAGTCAGCTCAAATTTTAACTAACTATGGCAAAATAAATCCGGTAGCGCTCTCTCTGAATCATAATTATGCTCAACTAATTAGAATATTTGGGTAATGGCCTATTCCATTATTTTCTGATGCAGTGATGGATAAGAAAAACTTTTGTTCCTTTCTGTCTATTCCTGTCAAATTAATTACGTCGATTCAGCTCAGCTTTCCAGGCTATCAAGATCATTTTGAATCATGATTCTGTCATACGGCATAGTAGTCATCCCCTCTAGGAACAAGTCATCCATAAATTTAAGTGTGCCTTCTGTGTTTTTATCTAAGTCACTGGTTCTTAATATTAGATTCAGAAAGTCTGTAATTCACCTAAAAGGATATGTGACACTATGTGTGTATAAGCATTTTTCTATGGACAGGGGTCCAGAGTTGTCAGCAGATTCTCAAGGTGGTCCGTGACCCCCAAAAAGGTTAAAGACCACTGACCCAACTATTCATCAGTATTTTGAACAGAACAGTGCTAATAAGGACAGAGCTCTAAAAGACCTCCAATAGTGCCTTCCTTCCTGATCAGCACTGATCCACCAGAAATTTTTGAGTGTAGTGATTGACTGTTTATTAGATGTTAGTCTCTTTACTTGTGATTTGCCTTTATCATAAAAGTGGAAGGGAAACTTTTGGGCATTCTAGTAATTGAGGTGTTTTGTTTTTAATTGCCAAGTATAGTCATTCTTAAGCCCTTCATCATTTTGCATCCTAGATTTTCCAGGATCCCATCAAACACTATCATAGTATTGTATTTAGTCTATGAATGGAACTATAGATGCTTCAAAAATCCCTGAGATTGGTTGAACATAGAAACATCAAAGAAAATACATAAGTAAAAGCTTGCTATCTCGTCTCTCCATGACTCTGAACAAATGTAATGTTAATTTCAATTTGAGCTCACCTTAAAACCTACAAAGGCTCTACCTCATTGTATTTTAAAAGCTTTCCGACATGATCTGTATATAAAGGGGGGGGGGGTCCCAGTTTAAGAAAACCCTTTACATGAAAATCTGCAGGTGATAAATTAGAGATCCATTACTTCATTTAAAAATGATTCACCTTAAAAGCCAGTCACAAAAAGAGTACATAGTGTATGATTCCATTCATTTAAAAGCCAAAAAAAAAAAAAAAAAAAAGGCAAAGCTAGTACTCTCTAGTGATGGAAAGCAGGTCAGTGGTTGCCTAGGTCCAGGGTGATGGTGGGATTGACTGCGC